CTGCTGGCGTCAATGCAAAGCAGCTGGGGCGCCCGCCGCCCGCTCCCGGTACCGCCCGGCCCAGAGCATGCGCGGGCCGCGACCGCAGGGGCGCCCAGCCAGCGTGCCCCGAGAGAGGAAGGGACTGGCTCAATGATGCACAGCGAGACTGCTTCGGGGGGCCACCATCTGATCACTGTCACGTCACTGTGTTTGAGACCGGGAGCTTTGTCATCCGGGAAGAGGCCGGTTGGAAGGACTTCATGCCGAAGTGGTCACAAGTCCACGGGGGCACCACACTCCAGGTCCCAGACGTTATTAACAGGGACAGCGGGTTGCTCCAAGACCTGGCACGTCACGCCTCTGGGTGCACCCGGATCGGTGCGACTTGCGAGACTTCTGAAGCTACAGTTGCTGGAAGGCCGGTCCTCTTAACCCAAGGACAGTTCCAGGTTCAACAGTCCCAAGAATCAGAACCCAGGGAAGGAAGGGGTGTGCGCCCTTCCAGCAGGGATCAGGCCTGTGAGGACCCCGGTTGTCAGCACTGTCGCCCTCACGGGCAGACAGCCTAGCTGGGTGACTCCGGATGAGTCTCTTAGCCTCTATGTGGCTGAAGCTGAAGGGCGACGCCCCTGGGTGTGCATCTGGGACCCGGAGCCAGCCACTTCGGGGACCCTCCCGTCCTTCCTTGCTCTCCAGGTCCACCGGGACCCCGGCGGGGATGGAGTTTCCTTTCCTCAGTCCACACCTTTCCTACCCGCACCCGGGAGCGACCCTGAAAAGTCCAGGCTCCCGCCCGCCCGCGGGCTGGCTACTGTTAAGACCCGGAGATATGCTCCGGGCTGAAGTCCCTGCTGTCACGCCGAGAAGGACACAGGTGCTTGATTTCTGTGGCAGCTCCGACGTCCTTGAGCATCGATCTTCCGGAGCAAAGGGGAGGGTACAGGGAGGCTTTGGGAGCGGACAAGGCTGGAGCCGCTCTGGCCATGGGTACGTGGCTCCTTTGTCAAGTTAAAGCGCGCTGTCCTGTAAAAGTATCACTGGCTCGGTGGAGGTGTCTTGAAAAACAGGAAAGAATAATATCACCCGTTATTCCACCCAAATTGTAGTGTTTTCGACTAGCAATCTTAGAGGGTAGTTTTTACAGCTGGCATCTGGATCCCTGGAGAAAATGCCTCTAGCCGCAGATGTGCACACAAGTCTAAGGCTCTTCTCCCCGCCCACCAGAAGTCTGGCCTTGAGGACTTCATACTGACCTTGCTTGTGAAGCTCCAGGAAGCCCCAGCCCGCCTAGCCCTCCCCGCACAGGCTGGCTCTCGGCGTCCCTGCTTTGTCTTGGGGATCCTTGAGCTTTATGTCAATAACAGGGTGGGGCTGAGGAAAGGGGGCTCCTCTGGAGACCAAAGGCTTCTGGTACCTTCCCCTTCCCCCCTCCGCCATCCTGAGTTGGTTATTTACTGTCTGTAATCTCAAAACTGACCTCCCGCCCTGCAATTTAGGGACCCACAGATTTGGAAACCTGAGGCTAAGAAAGACACTCAGGCAGATTGGAGCCATCTGTTTACTTGTGGAGCAGAAGGATCCCACTTTTCCTGGTCTTAAGACCTTAGCCTGGGTCACAGTGTTGGAGCTGTGGTGAGTAATCCATCCCATCCCTCCTCTGGCTAGAATCTGCACCTGCAGGTCTTTGAACACAACCTGTGAAACCGGAGGCGAAACCCCAGGCCTCAAGGACTGTGACTGTAAAAGGGGTCGTGCTGGCAGATGTACGCCCCCCAGTATGTCTCCCGGGACTTTCAGGGCCGGTGAAGAATCCGGCATGGGCTGGAGAGATGGCTCAGTGATTACCAGCCATACTGCTCATACAGAGAACTGAAGTTTAATTCCCAGCTCCCATGTCAGGTGCCTGTAACTCCAGCTCCAGGGGTCTGACCACCCCCTCTTCGCCCTGCACTCATACACACGGACCCACATGCAATACTTGCAAAATAAAGTTTAAAGTATCCCACCAGTGCTGGGAGTAGTGGCCTGTGCCCATTATCTGGGAGACTGAGGCAGAAGGGTTACCATGAGTTTGAGGCTGGCCGGATGTGTGTGGCAAGTCCCTGTATAAAATTTTTTTTAAAAAGAAAGGGGGCTGCAGAGATGATTCACTAGTTAAAAGCACTTGCTGCTCTTGCAGAGGACATGGATTTGGTTCCTGATGACCCCATGGTGGCTCATAACCATCTGGAGCTCTGTGTACAGGTGACTGGATACCCCCTTCTGACCTCCAGAGGCACCTGGCATGCTTGTACACATACGTACATATATGCAGGCAGGACACGCACATTTTTTTTAAAAAAAAAATCTGAAAAATAAAAAATTTAAAAAGAATCCAAGAGTCTCAGGGAACTTCTGAACCGAGTCCTAAAGAGAGTAGCCACCCTGCCCCCACCAGTGCTGGCCAGCTGCAGCCTCACTAGCACAAGTAGAACCTACCAGCATCCCCATCCATTTCGGGGGGCACAGGAACCCTGACCAGAGTGGCCCAAACTTGTAACTGAATGTCCCTCTCATTTCCGATTTCCAGGACTCAAGCATGAGGTTCGGTGGGACTGAGCAGAGGCTAGCCTCAGGATCTCAGTTTAATCTCCTCCTGAGGGCTGCAGTTTACACATCAACCATTCTCAGGAGACTCCAGGGGCCTGGGGGCAGGGAGAGAGGATCTTCAGAGCTGCTTTGCTATCTAAATCCAACCCTATTGTTTTCGTGCTTCTCCTAAAGCTGACCCCACTTTCTCCAACCAGTTCTCCCTCCAGCCCGCCTCTCTTCCTTCTCCAGCCAGGGGCCAGCCATTTTCAAAGGCCACCGCAGGCAGGGCTTTTCCCATGACTCCTGTCTTCACCCGCTGAACTTGGCTGATGGAGGAGGGAGCATTCTGACAGCTGGAGATCTGACTCCCAGCCTTGCCCTTTCCTAGACCTTGGACGACCAACTTTACCTCTGTGAGCTGATTTTCTCTGCTGTAAATCTAGGATTAAAGCTGTCTACCTCCCAGAGATTAGATGCGCTCCCGGATGTCAAATGCCAATAATAACCACTGTGTCCCATAACCTCAGCATCCCACTTCTTCTGGGAATTGAACATCCATTTCAGTTCTGACGTCTACACAGCACTACCTTCCTTCAGTCCTAGCCCCCAACTGCTACACACACACACACACACACACACACACACACACACACACACACACCCTATAGGAAGAAATGGAATTACCCAAACAAATCTATGGCTTCTATTTTATCAAACCTCCCCCAACTTTCAAGGTCTTGTATAGTATGATTTTTAAAATTACATTTTTTTGTTTGTTTGTTGTTGAGACCGAGTGTCTCAAATTATCATTGTTTTCAAATTGTACATCCTATAAATTTATATACAGATACATTCTGGGAAAAAAACAGAAAACATTTGAACTGAGCAGAGGTATATAGTGTACAGAAGGAAAGGGGGGGCAGGCACGGTGCCCATTAATCCTAGCACTCCATATGTAGGCAGAGACGGAGAATCTCTGTGAACTTGAAACCAGCCTGGGCTACATAGTGAGGCCCCTCAGGGCTGTATTGTGAGAATCTGTCTGTCTCACAAAAAGAAAAAGGAATAAAGGCTCTTTCCTTCTCCAAAGATAACTGTGGTTAACAGTTTTGACTATGTGTTCCTAGACCCATTTCAACCTTGATACAATATGGAAAGAAGGCTAGAGTGGGCATTAAAAGGGCATTAAAATCCCTTACAAGGCTTTGTGGGGTTGATTTAATAAAAGTCTGCCCCCTGCTCCTTTGCTGCAGAAGGGGTGAAGGGAAATGAGATCAGAGACTTCCAACCTTGGCTGCCACTGAGACAGGAATCATGCTGGCCACCCTCCCCACCAGCCCCTGGATCAAGGCCTTTCTGAGCCATCTCTTCGGATTCATCTCTGTTTCTTTGTTACGCCCTACTCTTGTATTCTCTGACTATCCCAGCCTTTCTCGGTTAACAGAGGAACGGAGTGACCGCCTTCAGACAGAAGCCACAGAAGGGAGGAGCGCCCTCTGGAGGCCAGAATGGTGGAGGCATTAGACCCCGGCATGCCTGGTCCCCTACCTCCAGGACTGTGTGCAGCTGTGGTCCCCTCTCAGGTTGGCTTGGTTCTCATCATTGACCTGGGGCCCTGGAGTAACAACTCCGTGTGGACTCCCTTTCTGGAAATGCGCTTATTGAGTCTCACCGTTTGGGAAGTCTCTGGT